GATCGAGAATGGAACCCATGAGGTAAATTTGTTCGTTTTTGTTCTATAAATTGCGAAAACGCGACTCACAACCAATTTGGACGCCGGAAAATATGTTTCACAACCAAACTGGCGCGAAAAAGCACGATCCACGCCTAAACCGAACGCCCGGTCCGATATTCCACGCCCGATTTGGGTGCCCAGACTGAGTTTTAAATCAAAAAAATTATATATTCGCGTTGCTACAAGGACTCCCCTGATCAACTAGGCTACAACAAATTTGTTAACTAATACTTATTTAAATATAATCATTCATTTCATTTATACTGGGTGCAAAAAAAAAAAAATTTGAACCGAACGCCTGGTCCAAACGCCGGTCAGGGGTCTGCAAGCCTTGACCGGACGTGCAGACCCCTGACTGGCGTTTGGACTGAACGCTTGAACCATTTTTCCACGCCTAAAATGGGCGTGTGAGAGCAGTTTTCACGCCTGGTTTAGGCGTGGAAACTGCTTTCACACGCCCGTTTTGGGCGTGGAAAAATCGAAAACCCAACATTAACAACATCCCCAAATTGCGATTTTCTGGGGATTTTCACACGATTAACCGAAAATTGAATATAAATAACTACTTTAGATCATTAATTACCTTTCATATTGACGAGATTTTCGTATTTGGAAGGATTTGGGACAACGGTTGAGAGTTTTTGTGAATTTTGGGGGTTTTGGGAATTTTGGGAGATTTGGGATCGGGGTTTGGGTGGATTTGGAGGTTTTTAAAGAGAGAAATAGAAGACTATTATGAACGACATTTGTAATTATGCTACTGCGTAAATCATTTCAGAAATAAAAAAAGTATGGTTAAGTTTATTTTTGGTTTAGTTATGATGGGCTTGGCTCAAGCACAAAACCCATACCGACGAGCTCACAAGGCCGAATGTAGAGGCCCAAACAACCCATTTTAATGGAAATCAAGCCCAAATCGACTTAATAAAGTTGGCCGAAATGCAAACAGCCCGTTCCAATTTGGTCTTACATTAAGTGACTTGCGTATCTCTCCATATAAATATGCGGAACCTCCTCAATCAAATGTATGCAAATTGTTATTGTCGAGCAACCTGTTGAATTCTCTAAATTCTTCTATCATATAGGAAAATTGTGAGTTGTAACGTGATATTAATTGTATAAAATAAAATAAAATAAAATAATATAAATAAATTGGGTTGGATTTAAGTGTCCCGGATCAGCAATAAAATAATATTAAATTTTATAGTTTAAATAGAAAAATACTAAAATTAAATAAATAAAATTTCTTTACCTAGAATTTGAGAAGAAAAAAAACAATTCTTTGGTATGAAAAGATTAATGTAAAGTAGAGATAGGATTGGAGAAGTGGCATCCAACCTTAAAAGAAGCATAAGATATTGGACACATTTACCCTACATTACATATCCCAAAGTCCTACAATATGTCTATTAATTCACGACAACACGTTTTCTCTTTTAATATTTTTCTTATTTTATTTTATTTTATTTTTTTATTTTCATTTGACAGCTCAAATTTTTGCAGCAAGAATTGATTATCAATAGTAAGGTTTTGATGAGTGTCAAAATATGATTAGTGCTCTATTAATTACCATGTACTAATATTTTGATTGTTTGTCACAATAGCCAATCATTATTTTTGAATTTTGGCATTGAATTTAAACAATGTTGAATGAATGTAGTATGCAAATTTCAATCCCGATGAAAGTTGGTTCCTTGTGAGCACCAGACTCACGTCTGCTATCTTAATGGGCCCTTGAGCACCGTGACTTTCACTCGTCCATAAAAAAATTGTCGGACCAGAGGATGAGGGCCCTGAGGAAGAGAGATTTCGCTGTGAAAGATGATTTTTTTTTTTTTTACTTTGATTTAATTAAGGGGGTTAGTAATCATTAAATTATATAGTTGCTCCAATTTATTGGTGTTGCAATTTGGCTATACTTGTTTGTTTGATGTTGATTGTGATTATCTAATCATTTAATTCTTGTATGGTGTACCTAAGCCATGCCAATTTGGCAGGAATAGTATTGGAAATTACTAAAATGCCCTTGAGTTTGGATAATTTTGCAAAAATATGAATTAATTAGAACATTAATTAGGCTTTTAAAATATTTTTTTTGCCAACTAGGTCAAATGAAAATAAATAAATTAGTTCATATATTAAGTAATATCAAAATGTATGAGAATTTGCATCATATAACAAATATTTAACACAAATTCAAGATGTCTATTTCAAGTACCATAGGAGGATCCAATGAGATGTGAAGTTTAACAAAACTAAAAATTAGTCAAATTAGACATACTTTTTTTCTCCATGTATGATTTTTTTCTATGCATGGAAAAGGACCTTATGGAATAATTTAATTATTTTTTGAAATTATTAACATGTTTTTGATGTATTATTAATAAGCATTTTTTTTGGAATATGATTATTGAAAGTAAGCTAGTCAATTTTACAATAATTCAATTACATTTTTTTTAATCAGCTTAGATTTGATATATACAATTGTGAATCGACCCGACAAATTATTGGAGTCCAACATTAGATAAATAAACTCTAGTTAGGGCAATTTGCGAGATGAAAAGTAAATATTAATGGTTCATTTTTTTTTTAATTTTCATAAATAATAACATTTATCGCCGAACAATTATAATAAGAAAAATATATATTACACTGTTATAATTAAATTACAATATCAATACCAACATTCATACAAATATAATTAGGAAAATATCAGTAGGACTACTTAGAGTTGCCCTAGCGTTTATTTATTTTATATATAAAATTTTGATTTTTTTTTAACAAATAAGTCAAGAATTTCATTTTTCCTTTTATTTTCCAATATTTAAAAAAAAAATCACATATACAAAAAAATTCCGACCTCCATCCCAACCATAATTGACCATATATTTCAAATCAAAGTAGAAAAAAAATTACACAATTTATGCATTTAATTATGTATAAACAAAAATGTCACGATTCTAAGTAGCAAAAAAAGGAAATAAAAGGAATAAAAGAAACATAAGTCGCATTTACTACACACGACTTCCAGCGGTTCCTTAACTACCGCCCACTCATCAATTGCCACGTCATAATCGCTACTTACTTCCTTTTCCCATTCGTGGCCACCACAAGTCGTTGTTATTCCATAGGTAAAAAAAGTCGGCACCGGACGAAAGGCACCGGAGGGGATAACTAGCACTGCCACGTGTTATTCTTTTACTATGATTAGTATTATTATGTACAATATTTATTGGCTGTGTCCTGCTAATATATATAATTTAGCTGTCCCATTTATTAACCATCATTAATTCATTAGATTTTTTATTTTTTCATAACATTCTCATTACTAAAATATAACTTTATATATATATATATATATATATATATATATATATATATATATATATATATATATATATATATATATATATATATAATGCAAAAAACAAATCTATATTATGACGAAGTAACTCCAATTGCAAAATATTAAAAATGAATCATTGATTATTAATTATGCTAGCTTTATTATTCTGATATCCTTTTACTCTAACCCCAAGTATTAAATGGATTATCAAATTTTAAATATACAGTTAAACCTCTATAAATTAATACAGTTGGGATCATCAAGATTTCATTAATTTAGCGAAATATTAACTTATCGATAAATTAATAATTATTAATTTATACATTAATTAATAACTTATTAATTTATGAAATTACTTTTATTATTATTTTCAATAAATACATTTTTTTTTTTATTTTTTATGTGTATATTATTCATTATACCATTCGTTCAATACACTATAGAGCTCGTTTCACGAATGGAAGCTCTTAAAACAGTAATGGTATAGAACGATTTATGTTGAGTTATGAGAAAACTATACCGAAAGTTCTAACCATGTTAAGAAAAGTGAGGGACGAGATTGATGGTAATGTGAACTTCTACAAGAAACAAGCGAGAATTAAATTATATTATATTAAGCCTTCATAGATCTATAAAATATGCACTATACCATGTAATTTAAGAATTTTTTTTATGCATTATTAATTTATATATTATATGGGGCTTCTTAAAATTTCCGAATGTGTATTATCTTATAAATTTAGCGAATTATTAATTTAGCACGTTGTCCCCGAGTCGGGACCGGGAAAATTTATTATTTAAGCGAGGTTATTAATTTATCGGGTATTAATTTATCGAGGTTCTACTGTAAGTATAAATACATTTAGAATCGATACATGTCAAATCATGATTGGTTATTTGGATAGTTTATTTTTTAATACCTCTTTTCGCATAATGCATTTTTGTCTTTCAGAAAGTTGAATATCAAGATATCTACCAATTTGATTACTCCATCGGAGATGGAAATTTTAGTTTTGGAACATTAATATAGAAGTTTTACTATTTAATTTCACATTTCATTTTTTCATTGTATTTGCTCTGAGATATTTTGGAATTTTCAGATCGGAAAATTTTTGTTCCAAAATCGAAAATTTCAAATCGGAGAATTTGCGTAATTCGGAAATCCTATTTTTTAAGTCACATATAATATAAAGTGTATTGTAATATTGATATTATAGTCGTAATTCTCGTAAAATAATTGGCATTCCTGTAAATATTCTTTCGAAAATAAAATCCGATCAGAAATCAAAATCTAGTATATACTCCGATTCTTTTCCAAAATAAAGAAAATAAGAAATTGAACTTTCATATTCTGGATAAAAGAAAAATATGTTCCAAAATCAAAAAAATTCAGATCAAAATCGGCGGAATTCGAAAATCTCGTCCCAATTTTCACCCCTAGTCACACCTCTTTAAATCATTAATTCATTTTGTTCAAACTCTTGACCAAATAAAAAGATCCTGGTTCACTCTCATTAGGTGTACACTACTTAATCATATATAACATCTAGAATAATTCATTTTATGTGCGCAATTAAAAAAAAAAAAAAAAAGTAATTGATGACGTAAGCTCAACGTAATCAGGTTCTCACAAATACCAACTCTACCCCTGGCGGGCCCCACTCCACATTGGCGGGATTTCGTTCATCCTCTATATATAACTACTTTCTTCTCTGCCCCCATATCTAATAGTAAACCACACACCCCAATACAAAATGGGATACAGCGGTAACGCCACCACCCCCACCGCCGCCGCCGCCGCCACTTCGGCGGCTGAAAAATCTTCTCCGACCTCGTCAACTTCATCACTGTTCAGCACTAGTACTACAACGACTACCACCCCTCCGTCGCACACGGTGATTCTCAGCCCGTGCGCCGCCTGCAAGATCCTCCGCCGCCGCTGCGTCGAGAAATGTGTGCTCGCACCGTACTTTCCGCCGACCGAGCCGCTCAAATTCACCATCGCCCACCGGGTTTTCGGAGCTAGCAACATTATCAAGTTACTGCAGGTAACTAATTTATTAATTATCAAATTCTCATAATTAATTAATTAAACCATAATTATACGTTTTAATATATTTAATTTTATTTTATTTAATTTCCACGTGGAAATTAATATTAAGATTTAAGACAAATGGAGTATGGAATATAATTAGCTTTTTTTTGTGCATGAAAGTGGAAAATCTTTCATGATCCACTAATGACTAAACAAGACTTTCTCTCTCTAGATATTTTGCTTGACAATTTAATTCAATTTTCTAACTTTAAATTATATTTATTTATTCAAATTGGAATTTTTTTTTATACTGAAAGTAACATGTGTAAGGTCAATTGTAGTAGGCACCTACTTAAAATGACATTACAAAATAATTATTTTATTTATATATTTGTAATAAATTAGGTGACACATATTTATCATGTATATAATATATATGATCTAGTAATTAATAATTTTAATTTAAAAACGACACTTAATTTCATGATCTCGGCCGGGATTTCAAAATGTTCGTTTAATTCGTACGAAAATCAAACTCGATTTATAACTATTTCAGGACCTAGAAGAGGATCAAAGAGCAGATGCGGTGAACAGCATGGTGTACGAAGCGAACGCGCGGCTAAGAGATCCGATCTACGGCTGTACGGGCGCCATCTGTCAGCTCCAGAAGCAGATAAGTGAGCTCCAAGCTGAGCTGGCAAAGGCGCAAGCCGAAATATTCAACATTCAATGCCAAAATTCAAATTTATCTGATATAATCTGCAGAAAAATGGCTGAAGAACAAAATGTACAAGAAAAATTGCAGCAGGTACAAGTCGCGCCGTACGATAATCACGAGAATTCAATTTTCTTCTTCGATGAGAGTGTTTTGGGCGTCGATTGGGAACCCCTTTGGACATAAGATCAATAATTCAGTAATATTTGACACTATATATATATCTATAATATATATACATAGCAGAAAAAAAGGGTTAATTAATTAATTAATTACTAAGAATAATGTAATATAATTTAATTTTTCTGCGTATTTATTTAATTATAAACAAATGTATTATATATACACTAAAAAAATGGGACTAAGAACTCTTGTATCTTTGTTACCTTTTTGTGTGACCTAATTCTGTAATTTCCAAGAGATTAATTGATGCTTTAATTTGTTATTGTTTAGTGTGTGTGTGTGTGTGTGTTTTCAATCTATATATGCAAAAATTGAAAGAGATGTTGATTCAAAGGTTAAAGTGAAGTATATATTTAACCAATTATATATATATATATATATATATATATATATTATTTCGATAATTTCTTCTGATTATGATCTGATTACGAGCGCTCTGATACCATGTGAAAATATTTAAATAAGTACCGGTCAATTATTGTCATTTATAAAGAAATGAATAATATTTTGTAGTGTTACGATAATATCGACTGTTATAACTAAACTAACTACTCAAGCGAGTGAACGAACACTAGAACGTAACTTTCATAGCCAAATTAAATCTTTCGATCCACTTATTAATGAAGATGTAACCAGTAAACCGGTCTATGAAATGTTGCACTTGATGAAAAGCATCGGATGGTTTTACACCATAGATCTAATAACCAACCATTAATCACATTTACACAGATGAGTGTGTTATTATGTGTAGATCAATGGTATATGATCATTCAGTGTGTTTCATCGAGTGTAACATCTGCAAAACCGTAACAAACCAAACATATAATTAAATCTTGACTGACTCTTTCTTATTCTTGGTTTGTGGTTAATTATATTAATTTTTCCCTAATCAAGAAGATATGAAATATTAGTATATTAATTGACTTGACTTTTTGATGATGTGGAGATTTCAATTGATTCATTATCGTATAATATTGTAAAATAAAAAATTGCTGAGTCTTGTGCATATGTGTGAATCCAATTCTATAGTCTTACAATAACCTTTTTTTTTTTTTTTTTTTTTTTTTTTTTTTTTTTTTTTTATAATTTTGTATTTAATTCGTCATGAATATATATTAGGTTGCCCTTTACCTCAGTCGACACCTTTTCTGAAGACCATATAATTAATCAGCTTAATTAATAGTATTTTTAGCCATTTTCGATTAAAATAAGTAGATTTAATTTTGGGTACTTAGCTACTGTATTAGTTATATATACTACTATTCACAACTATAATTGTCGGCAATATATATGAACCCAACTTCGTTTCATCCTATGTAGCACGGAAATATCAACTTCTTAACGTATTTGCGTTTCGGGACCTTGTGAACACCTGCTAAAAATCTTGTGGGTCGTTTTGTAATTTCTGAAAAGTTTAAAATATGTTTGATTAGCAAATTTTTATATATAAATTTTGAAAACATTTTATAATTTTTAATTAATTTTCGAATTAATTACACGAAATTTATGTTAGTTAACTAAGTGACAAGATCATGACTTGGGGGGCCAGGGCAAAGAATATATTTTTGAAATCACATGTTAAAGTCAGACGTAATCAAGAAATTTAATTTAATTGATCGGCGATTAATTAAATACTTATATTGAACTTGTGCATAAATTTCTTCATGAACAACAGAAGTATTACCTAATAACTAATTGTAGCGAATATATACTAATTAATATAATTAATCGTCATAAAAATAAATATAAACGAGTAATTTTGACTAAGAATAAAGTTAAGAAAACCAAATTTGGCCAAACAAAATAAAAAAAAAAAAGAATAAAATTTAATTAAAAATACGAATAAGTTAAATAAAACATAATTTAGTTTAGTTTCATTAGTTAACAAATTATTTAAATAATCTTCCTCCGTCAACAATTATATTTACGACGTAACAAAATTGGCATTAAAAAATGGACAAAAAGTACCAGAAATTGAATTTATTAATTAAAGAAAAGACAATAAATGGTGGGTAGCATCTCTATGTGATTATGTTACTACTTAAGTTAATCTAATACTATATAATACTATAATATATTATTAATTCTATCCTTATTAAATAATGCCTCGAGTATTCTGTACATGGTGGAATCAATGGGAACAAGAAGACTGTTTGGATTTACAATTTATTAGGCCGACAATTTTATTTTTATTTTTTAAATTGAATACAAATTACTAGGGCTGAACATGGGTCGGGTCGAGTCGAGCAATTACCTGCTCGACTCGACCACCCGATTTTGTTGAATATTGAAAACCATTACCGGTCGTCCAACTATTATAGGTCGGATAATGACTGTTAACCGACTTTGTCGTGTAAACAACGGGTAGAAGTTAAAAATTTGTGTTTTCATAATAAGTTTTTATTATTAAAAAAGTCGGTTGGCCGATATTATCCGACCAATCAATTTTTGAGTTTCACGAAAAACCCCTGACGTTCCATTTATACATAGTTTGGTTAAAATTACCAATTCGACTATATAGGTTGGATAATTACTGATCACCAGCTAAAAAAAGTGGATCGAATGTGGATCGGATGGTCGATAAAACCGACATGTACCAAACCCTACAAAATATTAGGAAGAGGACCGAATGTGGATCGGATGGTCGATAAAACCGACATGTACCAAACCCTACAAAATATTAGGTTTTTTCGAAATGAATCTTGTGTGTGAAGTCTAAACATGGTTTCGGACGTGAATACAACCGCAATTATTACACATGCAACTTTTGTAAATAAATTGCATGGTTTCCTTTTTTTTTTTTCTTTTTTTTTTTTTCTATGCAAGTAATTATGTGTAGCTTTTGTTATTTTTGCGGCTCAATAATTTGAATTTTCAACAGCCTCAACTCGGTCCTTTTTCTGTTGACTTTTTCATATCCTCTTTCCCAGTTGAACTCTTTATTAATATTATTACCTAACATGTCTGCATAATTAATATTAATAATATTGTAATCACTAATTAATATAAGAATTTAGGTTAATGGCATTGATTAATTCTCTCTTTGTAGGATAAGATACCAGACAAGAATCATTAATATTATTCGATTAGCAATAAATTTATTCTCAATTTGACCAATTTTAGTTGGATGATCAAACGGTTTGACATTTACACACGTGAAATATATAGTTGAAAAAATTCGAACCACCACTAGTATAGCCAGAATTTCGAGTCCTGAAGTGCCGAATACATTGAAAATTTATAAGGGGCCGATAAATATTTAGGGGGCCATGGCCCCCCGTGGCCCTATACTGGCTACGACATTGAATGAATCAGTTCATTGAGATGATATGGTAGGATTTACAACCATAGAAAAGTTGACAAATTTAGCATAAATGTAGACCCCTAGCTTTATAGGCTACATATACATACATAAATTTTGTAGTAACATATCTAAATAAGTAAATAAATATAATAAATTGACTTTATAAATGTTTATTGGTTTATTTATTTATTAGTTATTAGTACTGCTCACGTGAATACTTGTAAATAAAAGACAAATTTCACCATCTTCATTCATCATTGTTTCTTTAGTTTAGTTCATAGTGGGTTTTTTTGGTTGACTTTTTAGACTAGCTAACGCGGAAACTATGAAGAATTTTTGGAGGGTTGACCAGAGAACAATCAATCATATTGAGCCATGTTAAAAGACAAAATTGCCCTTCACCAAGTCCATTTATTTTATTTTATTTCACTAATTGGCCATTGGTTCTTTCTTGAAGGCTGGAAAATTTCTCACCTTTCCCCACTGCAATAGGGGCTCCCTTCTATTAATTGGAGTCAATACAAATTTATATGTATGATACATGGTCCTAGGGTGAATTTGGAACAAAAAATCGAAACCGAAATCGAAACATGAATTTGGAACAAAATACCAAACTCCATTGATTTCGATTCGCAGTTTACCAATTTTAAAACAATATTTTTCATTCCTAGTTTCAAAATGTCAATTCCGATTTCTGATCAGAATTTAATTTCGTCGAAAATCATTTTCTTTTTCGAAAATTGCACTTAAAAAATCGAACCAAGCTCAAACAAATTGGGAAAGTAAAGAAATATACAGCTATTCAGAAATGAGGCTTGTAATGCTTTACTACTGGCAACCCACTGTTGAAGCACGACGCGTTTTCAATCGTTTGATCAAACATCAATCCACGAAATGCATTTTATTCATAATAAATTAAAAATTCACATCGAGTTAAACGTAATAGACCTGAAGAATCACAATGTAACCAAGACATTATTTTTTCTTTAAATGCAAAAAATTACGACGCTCATAGTCGATCGACAAAATGCTCTGTTCCGATTTTTATTTCATCTGAAAGTAAAAGAGCGATAATAGAACTAAAGAAATGTACAAAACATAACAAAATGTATCCGAAATGGGAACATCAAAAACATGCTTCAGCATTGAATCCCAGTACAAAAAAGCTTCAACTTCATAACAATGAAAGTCGAAGACCATAATCATAAAAAGTTGACCAAAAAAGGAGAGGGAATTTTCGACGAATAGATTACGGGGATGAATAGCTACTGTATCTAGGAAAACATCTCCAAAAAAAATTAAAGTTAAAATTATTTTCCTTCATGCAGCTTTCACATTGCCAAACAAGCTATTGCCTTTTTATCTATTTCTGCACAAGGGGCTCACCTGTTTCCTCGTTTTTGTCCATAGCCTTTCGTGCGAGTTCATATCCAGCAAAATTCATGGCACCAAGTGGAGCGATCCAGAAAAAACGGGGCACCGCTCCTTTGAATAATCCGAGAGGCCCTTCTCTACGAAGAATAGAGAATGCCACTATTGATAAAGTCACGGGGCGACCCTGTGGAGCTGTCATTGTTCTCGTCTTTATTACATCGAACGGGGTTGTTAAGACAGCGCTTAGTCCACCAGATAACGCCCCTACTGCAATAGTTTCCCACGGTTCTAATTCCCGGCCTAGAAGTTGCTGAACTGCCTGAAATAGGTAGAGTGGAAATCAAGAATTCTCAGAATGTGCAGTTAAATGGAACGGAATGAAATTGGAGGGTTTCATTTTAGCTTGTTCGGTTGATGTATATAGGTAAAAAGCTCGTCTTTCTTTCATGCAAACAACAAATCAGACGTAAAAAGATTTTGTGTAAAATCAATTTGAAAACGAGATTTTTTTACCTTCTTGGATTCTGCGTAAAGGCACATGCCTGCAACATAGAACGGTACTTCCCTACAGAGTGTTGCACCGGTCCCACGGAAAAAACCTCGAAGACCATCTTGCTGCCAAGTCCCAACAATAGCTTCACCGACATTGTTGAACAGACCAGCCTGCAATCTCTGCTTCAACACCTCACACGGAATACGCACTCCTGTTCCTAGTAAAGTGCTGCAGAACGATGCCATCGATTGAACCTAAACACCATAGTCACAATAAAATATTAAAATTAGCACATTAAATTAATATATAATACGAAGAAAGAGCTAACGAAAAATTTGACTCCAGTGGGCCTAACCTGTAAATCTGGAAGCGTTGGAGCAACATGTACCAACAAAAGCTTGCTTGCTTCGAAAATTCCAGTTCGAAGCCCATGACTGCACCATTTCATAAAAATAAAAATCGGGTAGGACGTAAATATTTAAATTTATGAAATAATGGGTTAGTTATGTTATACCTTGAAAATTGGCCTAATATAGCTGGAATGGACCCCCTGTATAATCCCCTGACTCCTTGTTGAGGAAGTTTGGCTAAGATCTCTGGGAAGGTGAGAGTCGAAGCTTGCACTCGTGTCTGACAGACAGACCAGTTGAGAACACTATCAGATTGCCTCATCGAACGATGAAATTAGACGACCTGTAAAATGCATAGACTATACCTATTTGACTCACTATTGTACGGTTTAAAATTCCATGCCACAGCATTTCTCTAGATATGTATAGCGAGGAAAATATTTGAGAGTTTGGCAATGCATTCGAGCAACACAAGTATACGTAGTTACGAAAAGTTGTTCCCAGATTAGTTTCATAACCAAAAACATCAAATTTAGGAGCCAAAATTGGCTGTTTTACTGGTTATATATTCCAGCACGATTCCTTCACTTTTATCACTTATGCTAAAGCCTAACTCTTGAAACTGCATGAATTCAGCTAATGACGAAAATGAACTCTGGAAATAAATTTTGAGAAAAGATCTATTAATTATAATGTTTCTCCGTAAAATTTGCCAAACTTGATTATGAATCAAGTTTCATCACCAATTCACAAGACTTCCAGAAGATAGTGCTATTTAGTAAAACATTCACAAATAAAACTGGGGAACCAATACCGAGAGCAAAACCCGTTACAATATTGTGCATGTATACCTATCTAGCAACATAATTGGCTGAATAGGAGTTCAAAGCAAAAGGTGTACATGGTACTATCCCTGAAAGCCATGTATGTGAACATAAAACTGAAACATCATCACAGATTCATCGAATAATAAAGAAAATTTCCAAACAATACCCAAAAGGCATCAAGATTAAAAAGAGAGCCCAAAACCGGCTTCAACATGTATTAACATATTTGTTCATCAAGACTTTACCTTAATAGTGTCAACTGGATGCAGTAAAGATGTTGACAATGCACAGGAAAGACCTCCAATCAATGCTGATTTTAGAACACTGCCAGTAGGTATTTCCACAGGCGGAGGAACAGCAACCACAGTAGCAGCTTCAAACCAGATACTTCTGTAAGTCGCAAAACAAAAATCAAAGATAGCTGATATCAGAAGCTGATCAAACAAGAGTTCATCAAACAAGCAGCATTAAAATTAGAAAAATCCTCACCTCATCTGGAACTTCAAACATATCAAAATTACTCACTTTGATGGATAAATGACCTATCATACCCTGAACTAAGTACTTCAAAAAAACATTGAGCTTTGGAATTTGTCCGAAACTATAATAGAGAATACGCTATCGGTATCTAATCATAAAAGAGTTGGGAAACTTAATCTTGTACTGACTGAATTAAATTTATTAATTTAATTCATAGGCTTAAACAAACCTAGTCCTACTAGAGAAATGACTATGAAAGACTAGTAACTTATTTCAGAAATTTCAGAATAGATTCATAGGCTTAGATAAACTGCATCCTACTAGAGAAATGACTAGGTGCCTAGGATTAACTAAATTCTTAACTAGGATAGACAAACTTCATTAGCTCATAACTAATTCCAATCAGAAGAAGACTGTGATTCGAGATCCGTCAGATAAATTATTTCTCACTACAGGATAACTCCTATCTTATACTTGTATTGAAATAATAAGGTAAAAAAAAATTAACACGTAACACAGATATTCAGCCAACTACATCTTCAGTGGCACTTATATCGTCTTCCCTGTAAATTCCCTTTCGTTTTTTTTTCATCTTGATCGAGCAAGTTTAATGTAAAGAAGCATGAAAGCGGTATTCACAACAAAACACTTCTACAAAAACAGTATAAAAGCAGGACAAAAGAGAAACCTTAATTTACCTTGGATCTTCTTGAAGTCGGTCTGATGGGAGCAAAAGCATGAAATTCCGGAAATGCCCATAAGATATAGATTCTGTATCAGCATTCAGAAAACGCATCATGGCAACAGCATTATCTTCATTTGCAGGAAGTCCTGCGTTCTTCAAGGACGCCAGAATTTCACTTTTCTGTAGCGTCCCAGACTTGCTCAAACAGAGACTCGTATAAGCCCGAAGAATGGTCGGTTCTTTCTGTTCCATCAAGGACAAGAACTGCTTCCAACCAAAAGACTTTGAGAACAAGTGACTCCTAGTACGGCGCATGAATTCGTGTGCATATCTCTTAGGTAGTTTTCTCTTTCTCATGGCAATTTCAAGATCTTCGAGAGTAACTTGTCCATCACCATCTCTATCCAACTCCAAAAAAAACCTCTTTCCTGCAGATAGAGAGAGTTTAGATTCGTATTGCATCGACATTGATCAAATATAATTTTAGTGAAACTCGTTTCATTTTTCAAATACAATCTCAGATAAAATGTACTCTAAATTTTCTTTTCAATTGGTAATAAAACATGTGCTTGAAAGATAATCGAGCATTTTCAGTCAAACCGAGGAGATTTTACCTTCGGCTTCCGTGTATCTGAAAAAGTCCTGGACAGAGAACAGTTTCTTCTTGTCTGGATGTTCTTCTTTCGAAGGTCTTCCTATCTGCGGTAGAAGCTCGATCAATTCTGTGAACGATACAGTTGACAGAGTCGATCTCAACCGTTCAACATTGGACAATGGAATACTAAGCAATCCATTAGCCATTTTTTGTGGCGAATTGCCTCCACTTTCTTCCTGATTGACAATACTATTAACTCCCTCATCCTCCACCACGTCTTTCACGGAAGGCACTTCAACGATACCCGAAGGCACTCCTCCTACACGGGCAAACTTCAGATTCCCTAAAAATCCGTTGACATCAGCTCTCTTACCTTCTAAAATACTGAAAAGTGCCTTAAAATGATCAAACTGAATTACAGGTGCAGCTGAAGTTTTATGGTCACCGTTCTTGCACTCGTTTTCTTGAACACCCATATCAAATTTCGGCAAATGATTCAACTGGTCAACCACAAACCCCATGAAATACTCGAACGGCAAATCTTTCCCTTCTTTAGCCTTCAACTCCTTCTGTTTAATTTCAGCCACTTTATCATTCATCTTCTGAGCTCGTTTTTTCGCAGGCTTCAATGGTTTCGGGAAGGCCTCGACAAAACCGTTGATAAAAAACGATAATGCCACATCAAACTGCAAGCAATTCCCACCATTATTATTACTTCCATACCTCTCTTTCAGCCCTTTCTTCGGCAAACTTACGTTAAATTTCTCTACCCCATCGCTGCTATTCAAATCAACCCGTTCATCAACATTACTTCCACCTTTTTCCCTAAATATACCGACAAATACCTTGACCGGAAATCTCCCCTTTCTCCTATCATTGCCATTGACAACAAGATGTTGACCGCTCTTATTCGTCGAATCCAATTGCGCTGCCAAAAGCTCATTACTACTAGCATCGTTAATACTACCGTTCAAGTTCCCATATTTCGGAGCACCACTAAAGCAATGCTCGAAATTCTTCGCAACCTTCTGAAACCCCGATTGTATCGGAGAAAACGCATCCGTAACGACCTGAATCGAGTTAAAAAACGATTCCAACGGGTCGTTCCCTGACACAACCATCACTGAAAACCCTAGCTTTAATCACAACTCATACAGTAAAAAATCAAAATCACACACAAATTACAAACACAAATTAATTCACCCAACACAAGAGCTACACCAAATAACCAGCGCCAATAGATACAGAAAATCAGCCTTTACACTACCACACCCCAATCAACAAAAAACAAACACAGACAACAATCAAAAACAATTAAACCGACGCCGTTTCAACTCCTCATTCAACCGGTACTGAATCCGTTCATTGAATAATAGTCAACGCGTATATATTTGTGTGTATATATATATGCGGACGGACTTTTCAGTGTATGTATTATGTATGTATACGTTGGAGCACAAAAAAAAAAAAAAAAAAAGATGTAGATAATGGGGATATAATTTTACTGGATTTTCTATCACCTTGTAAATACAAATTTACAGGGAATTTTTTATTTTTGAATAAATTTATGAGGCTAACAATTTAATTGGATGAGGGATTTTTCATAATTCTGCCATTTTTATGCAAATCTGAGGAATCTGATAGATATGGTGATAGTGAAGAACAAAACAAGAGAGGTTATTTTCGGACTGTATTTTTTATTTTTTTATTTTATTTTTTTTTAATTTTTCAATTTGGATAAAGAAGAATAAAAAAGGTCACTTATTAATTATTATACTGAAGTTAATTATTATATTTATATATATATATAACTGAATGACAATTTTACCCTTCTACTTCATCCTTATCCTTTGACATGTCAGTGTCGTGTCATGACGTGGAAGGGTATATTTGAGAATTCACATTGTACATGGGAGTGGCTGATTTGATATTGCAATGTCGCATCTATTGCTCTTTCTACAATTAATTTTTTTTTTATTCATATTTTTATTTAATATTATTTTAGGGTAAATTAGTCCGACACCCCTGATGTATGCTAAAACAATTTTGAGGTCCTTGAGATATTGGTAATTACAGCCACATCCCTAAACAATTATCGGAGCCAAGATGTCATGTCCTGGGGACCGATATCATTATATTCGTTTCTCGTGGGGCCGTTAATGCTACATGTACGAAAATTTATAAATCTTATATAAAATAATAAAGATTTAAGAAATGTTAGGAGAGTCATCATGCCACCCAATAACTCTATGTTGTCCCAATCACTGACTGAAATTAATATTCCGTTAGAACTCTAATGGAATAACTTAATTATCTAATGCGTTATTCCGTTAAAGTTTCTAACAATGTTTCGGGTGGTTCTAATTACCGATACTACAGGGACCTTAAAGTTATTTTAGCATACTTATGGGATATAGGTGTAATTTACCCTATTGTTTATATTAAGTATTATCCAACTCCTTTATCTTTTTCCCTTTCTAACGATTTTGTTGGGAATGGTTGGTTTTATTGGCAATTTGTATTTTGAAATATAATATATTTGATTCATCAATAAAAGTGATTAGAAATACAACAAAATAGTAGTTTTTTTGAGATACACATAAAGTTTTGGATTTGAAATAGTGTTTTTTATTTCGTATATCAAAGATTTCGATATATGATTTTTTTTTATTTTTTCTTATTTATCAGAACTGGAATATATATATGAGATTTCAAATAACGACCCGATTTTACTTTCGATTTTTTTTTTTAAATTATAAACTCAACGAATCTATATTAGATGAATAAAAAGTTAGAATCTACTAATTTCGATGCGAAAAAATCATAATTTTGAATCAATTATTATGATTCCAATTTTCGAAAATCATAATTTTCAATATTACCCTTTTTTAATCGGAACTGATTTCACTTCGAAAAAAGAAAAATGATAAGAGTTTGCATTTATATACTTTAAGTTTCTTTTTTTGTCTCATATTAATTTAATTATTTGGAACATTAGTTAGTAGTAGTTATTGATATTAATGAAGTATTAATGAGGGATGTCTAATGGATAAATGTTGACGTGGGTGTTGACTAGGACAGAACGATGTTTTAACTAGGGGATTATTTGAGAAAACCCCCTCATATGCATTTTATCATTAGACTAGATCCTTTTTTTTAATTCCCTTTTTAGATAAATCCAATTGTATTTTATTAAACAAATTATATTATTAATAACCTATTTTACCCTTTCTCAATTTATTTAACCTAGGAATAAAAGTTTCTCGTATAATATAATCGTTTCTCTTCTCTTCCCCTTCTGTATACAACTCGCGCCCACACCTCGCCGCCCCACCAGACACCACACGATCTCCACCCTCCTCCTCCTCGGAGGGATCTCCCACCGGGCTGCTCCTCTATTTGTTTATCTCTTACATTCGGTTACCGCAAATTGCAAAAACCCCCAAATTTCTGAAACCCTAGTTTTGCCATTGGTATCTTCCACCATCCTTCTCCTTCTTGACCATTCCCCCTGTTCATTCAATACCAAATGTATACATATGAATTCTTTTTTATGGTGATAAGCCCTTTCACTGATAAAGAATTGTTCAACCTAGATTGTTTTTTCACCGATGCTTCGCCGAAATTCCAGAAGCCGGACCTCCTCTCTGTGCCGCACCTGCAATCGCCGCCGCCGCGGTGGAGCACGACGGACTTCACTTCTGTCAGTTCATGGTCGTCGGCTCGAGCGCCGGCATGGTGGAGCACGTCCATGTGCCTCGTTGACACAATCAAAACCCAAATGAAAGCCCTAGGTTCCTGCCCGATTAAATCCGACAGCGTCAACCAAGCCGTCCGTTCTATTCTGAAATCCGACGGCACGAAGGGATTCTACCTCGGGATTGGAGCCATGGCCCTCGGCGCGGGGCCCGCACGCGCCGTCTAGTTCTCTGTTTACGAGTTCTGTAAGAAGAGATTCTCCAGCGGCAATCTGGACAATCACGCGGCGCATAGGGGGTTTGTGCTACTGTTGCCAGCGATCCGGTAATCTGGATAATCAAGGTTTTCAACTAAAAATAATAATTTGATTGTAATTAGATTGTAATTCTTATTTTGAAATGGATTTTTTCTTTGAAAAGGTGATTTAATTTGATTGTAATTAGATTGTAATTCTTATTTTGAATTGGATTTTCTCTTTGAAAAGGTGATTTGTTGTGGTGGATTAGGTTAATTCCGTAGTGGACTACGTTACTATTTTAGGGGATTTGTCGTAGTGAATTAGTTTATTTTCGTAGTGGATTAGTTTAATTTCATAGTGGACTACGTTAATATTTTTGTAATTGTTTGTAGTGGATTAGTTTAATTTCATAGTGGATTATGTTATATTTTTGTAATTGTTTGTAGTGGATTAGTTTAATTTCATAGTGGATTATGTTAATATTTTGGTGGATTTCGATATTTTTATATTTTTGTAATTGTTTGTAGTGGATTAGGTTAATTTCATAGTGGATTATGTTAATATTTTGGTGGATTTCGATATTTTTTGTAGTGGGTTTGGATCAGATTGTAGTAGATTTAAAATTCTTGCTTGGTAGACCGATTTTATTTTGAATGATTAAATTTACACGTTGTTGTTGTCTTTTTCTTTGGTTCAGATTCTTGAAAAGGAGTGATGGCAACAAGTGGGACGAGGTTGGGTGATGCACGGGGACTCTACTATTGTATGCGATGACAATTTTTATTAAAGGGGACTTATGTAGTGGATATAGGCAAGTGTTTAGTGGATTTTCTCTTTATAAATGGGATCTTTTGTAGTGAATTTCTATATTTTTGTAGTGGTTTTTGATGAACTTATAGTGGATTTGAGACAATACCTGATGCAGGCGCGAGGAGGGGTGTCGATGCGCTTACAGTAAATAGTGGTTTTTGAATTCTGATGTGACATTAAATAGTGGATTATGTTTTACAGTAAATAGTGGATTTCAAGCAGTGAATAGTGGGTTTCAAATTCAGACAAAGAATAGTGGATTTCAAACAGTGAATAGTGGAATTCAAATTCAAGCAGTAAAATAGTGGATTATGTTATTTTATAGTGGAATACGATTAATTTTTTTTAGATAGTGAATGTTCATAAATTTTGACGTGTAGCGGATTTCATTTTTTGATAAACCTAGTGGATAAAAAATGGTTTTCAGTTAATTTCGAAATATTTATAGTGAAATTCGATTTGGTAAAGTGAGAAAAAAACCAATAAAAAATATTAATTAAAAGAATAAACTGGAAAAAAAATTAATATTTCAAAAAAAATGAAAAATTAAAAATAATAAACAAATAAAAAAATTTGAAAAAACTAAAAATAATAAATAAATAACTATTTTTTTGAAGTATAAATTAAAAAAAAACAATTTTTTTTAAAGGAAATAAAAAAAAAATGAACATTGGCGTTTTTTGCATACGTACAGATTTTTTAATTTATATTCCATATTAATATAATTGATGATTGATTAATGAATATAATAGGGGTAAATGGGGTATTATGTTAATTAAGGGGTTATCCTTAATAATAAATATAAAAATGGATTTAAACCTCTAAGGAAATTGTATGAGGGGGTTATCTCATATAACCCCTTTAACTAGGGATAGAGTTAAATGCAGTTGTTGAGAAAATAAATAATAATAAATAAAAACTAATAATAATAATAATTAACAAAAAAAAAAAAAGAATTACATAGATTGCCAAATAAACATTAAACCAACAAATGTTGTTCTTTTGTTTTCCACTTCTCTAATTGTATCTATACATAATTAACTTTCTTGAAAACTGAAAAACGGAGTCGCGGAACACGAAACTAGTGAAAGCGCAACATCGAACGAAATCGAACCACAATACAAATCGATAAAAAAATCACACGCAACAAGATTCTCGAAAAATAGTGATGATTATACTCGATGAAAACTCTATCGAGGTTGCAAAGTGAGTGCACAACCTCATTCGATAATAAACTTCGTTTTTCTTTTACTTGTATTCACCATCATCGTCAGATGCAAGCGAGACTAAACTTTCAGTGTAAAGATCAACTCGCCGATCGCCATCAAAGTTATATACGTAGCTTTCCCTGAACCGTTTGTCTTTCGGATTGTAAATCACGAAATTCAACCCGCGGTTGAACAAAACATCCCCATCCGGCAACATACACAACGGGGACGATCGAGGGGACAATGGACCCAACGGATAAGAAATACTCGCAAATTTAGTCCAAGAATCTTCCACCCCATACTCGTTCCAAATCCAAATATCGAATCGGGACTCGTTTAAATAGCTACAAGACACACAAAGACGTCCATCGAGAACTCCCAATCTCGGGCACGAACCGCCCTCGAAACAACTAGGTAATCCCTCCACAAGACCAAATGTCTCGCTCTTCAAATCGAGACGAACAATTTCAAATTTCAAACTTATCCAATGAAGCTTCCCACTCACAAACTTCCCCAGTTGACAATCTTTTGCGTAAAACGGCGATCCATCGACAAATAACTCTTGTTCCCTACCCCACGAATCGGCCTTTAAACTATACATTCTCCCCATAGCACGTCTTTCACGATTACCGAAAACCCTAGTTAGAAAGGCGTAAACCTTGTAATCATTATTGCTCTCGTCGAACCCGAACCCGTATCGAGTAATAGAACCGAGTCCGGTGAATACGGGAGGCAATTGTTTGAACTCCCTCGTCGAGGGATTACACAACCAAAACTTATATTCGTCCACGACAATGCATATCAACCCGTTACAAGAACCCACAACACATAAGTCTCCAGCATAATTATTAATCGGAAAATCGAGAGGGCACCCGCGAAAAACCGGTTTGGTTAGCAACAAGCGCAACGAAAAGGTACATAGAGACCTTCCGAATTTCGAAGTGGTTGAGATGATCCGGGTTCGGGCGGAATATTCGTTCTTTTTGGAATATTCGAGGTGGGTTTTGATCAAGTGTTTGCTCGAGATCAAAAAACGCCATGATTTCGAAACCGATTTGAATCTCAAGAGGGAATTTACCGGCAGTTTTGACAAGATTTCTGTAATGATTTCTTGGGGAACAAGAAGGTGGTGGATTTGTTCAGACTCGCCGCCGGTGTTCATGTTTGTTATCTGACGGCGGATTCCTGTGCGTTTTTGTTTGTCGTACGTTTGAGGTAGTTGTCGTACGAGGTAGAAAGCTAGGGTTTTTGTTTTCATTCAAAACAAATCATGGTTAATCGTCAAATAAATACCATTAACTAATGGAGTTTTTCTGCAAAAAAGCCCCCCACATCTTTATGATTCTCTTTCACGAATAAGTCCATTCCCTTAATTTTACTATAAATAAAGGAAACATTCATGTATATGACAATATTACCCCAACCCTTTTATACCCAATTCTTAATTGTAAATCCAATTTAATCAATTTTGTCCTCAAAAATCCAATTTTGACTGAAATTTTTTGCCGCTGGATTCCGGCGTTGCGGCGGTCAATGCCGGTCTCCGGCATTGACCTTTCGTCAACCACATTTCGTCAACAGCAACAATAATATTATCGTCAACCACATTTCGTTTTTTTTTCTTTCGGATTTTTTGCTGTCAACACAGTAATATTATCGTCAACCACATTAATATTATTAACGGAGTAACGTAATAATATTACTGTATATTATTGTAATATTACTGTAAACACAATAATATTAATGTGGTTGACGATAATATTATTGTTGCTATAGTAATATTAATGTCAACCACATCAATATTATTATTTTGTTTGGATTTTTTTTTTTTTGTTTGAGTTATTTACGAAGTAACGTAATAATATTACTATGGTTGACGGTAATATTACTGTTGTTATAGTAATATTACTATGGTTGACGGTAATATTACTGTCACTCACAGTAATATTAATTCTTTTGGCTTTTATTATATTTACATGGGTAAATTACAAACACCCCCCTGAGGTATGGTCAAATTACAAAAACCCCCCTCTTGTTTGGATAATGACATCTACCCCCTCAAATATGATTTTTTCTTACACCTCCATCCTTATTGTGCCAAATTCAATACAATCATCTAGATTCCGTGGAATGTGCTCTAGTTTGTATTCGTTTTGTGTAAAAATACAGTTTCCGATGCACCACAAACTGATATACACAAGCTAAAAATCACATATTATGATCATCTTACTTCATAATGTAGAGTTTGAATAGTATAAAACGGGTACAAAAGTGATAATATTTCATATAATCTCGAAGATTCCACTAAATTTGAAGAGCTGAGGGGGTGGTTGTAATTATCCAAACAAGAGGGGTGTTTTTGTAATTTGACGATACCTCAGGGGGGTGTTTGTAATTTACCCTATTTACATTTGTTGAACGGTCAACATAGTAATATTACTCTATTACACAATAATAATGAGTTTGTTGTGTTAATATTATTGTGCTAGAGATTAATATAGCAATATTACTATGTTAAACTGTAATATAATTAATTTTACTGTGTTTAACAGTAATATAGTTAATATTACTGTCAATCACAGCAATACTGCTGTTTAAACGAAAAAAAAATGTTACAGCAAAAAAAAAATTAAAAAAAAATAAACGCCGGAAACCGGCGAAATAATCTGGAAGAAAAAAAAAATAATAAATCGAAAAGTCAACGCCGGAGACCGGCGTTAACCGCCGGTCAACGTCGGAATCCGGCGGCAATAATTTTTTTTGAAAAAGAAAGTTTTGGGGCAAAATTGAATAATTTGTGAAATTTGGGGTCAAATTGATGTTAAATTAAATTAAGGATGAAATTTGAGCATATTAAACAATGAGGGGCTATTTTAGTCTTTTACAAAAATCTGGACCATGTGTGGACTTATTTGTAAAAGAGTTTTTTGTCTGAATCTCTTTATAAATAAGTACCCATTGATGGGCTTATCTGTAAAGACCCCTTAACTAATTATGAATTATTGTTGTATGTAATCTTTATTAGTTTGTCTTAATTGCAAAAATGGCCTGCCGTGTTCTATCGAATTGCTGAAAAATGAAAATACAGTTGAACCTCTATAAATTAATACAGTTGGGACTAGGGAAGTTCTATTAATTTACTGAATTATTAAATTATCGAGTTAATAATTTAACATATTTTCACCGAGTCGGGATAGAGAGAAACTATTATTTAGAGTATTAATTTATCGAGGTTCTGCTGTATTCTTTATATTAATTTCACTTTGCATCCTTGAAATGTAATGCTTTAGCATTTTGCACCCTTAAAAAAATTAATACCATTTTACACCCTCGAAACACAATAAATCATTCACGGTGCAGTTCACCCTCAATTGAATATTTAAAACTTAATAAAACAAATCTCATTTTTATATTTTCACATTGCAAAATAACAAACTAAATGGTGGTTTACTTCTACCTCCAAGCTAAGTTCGAGTCTGAAAAGTGCGAAAAAAATAAAATCACATTAAATTACGGAAAAAAAAACTATATTTTTTTACCAAACTACGGAAAAAAAAACTATATTTTCTTACCAAACTACAAGCAAAGTTAACTTCCTAGGATTTTGCCTTCTCTTGTTCATCATCAAGGACAAGTGAGACTAAGCTTTCAGAGTAGACCTCCACTTGATCAACGTCTTTAAACTTATCCACGTACCGTTGCCTAAACCCATTATCTTTCGGACTGTAAATCACGAATTTCGACTCGTATTCACTCGACATGTAAGTAATCAAAACCTCTCCGTTTGGCAACATACACAATTGACCCCATTCTTCAGGCAATGGGGTCACGAATGGAGTCCTCCAAGAATCGGAATCGTAAGGAATTCTCGAAAATTTAATCCAAGAATCTTCCACCCCATACTTCTTCCAAATCCAAATATCGAACATTTTCGGACGGTCGCAAAACAAACAAAGACATCCGTCGAGAACTCCGAATCTCGGAACAAAATCATCCTCCATAAAACTAGGTGTAGACGCATAAAATTAATTAATTGGTTAATTAAATTAGCCAATTAAATTGTGTCTAAATTAAATTATACCTTGTCTTGCAAGACAAGTCATGGGGATAATTATCAATTAATTATTGGCCAATAGGATTATTTCTTCTCTTCCAAGTTATAAGAGATAAATATCAATTTAAAGAGAGCCAATCAAATCGCGCCACGTCATCAAGCAGACTTTAAGTAGGACTCTTATTCTACCACTATAAATAGGGACCCTCCCTTCACAATTCAAAACACAACTCAAGAAGAAGAAAAACCGTAGGAGAAAATTCTCTCTACAATATTCAAGTCGTTCTTCATCAAATTCAAGGCGTTCTTCATCAAATCGAAGGAGTTCATCAAATCGAAGGTGTTCTTCATCAAATCAAGGCGTTAAAGCGTTTAATTCGAGATTACGGTGCTAAACCCTCGAATTAACGTTATTAACATCAAATCAAGATCGAAGGAAGATTGAAGGGCCAAATCCATCAAGAACTCCAAGATCTTCAAGTCAAAATCCGTCAAAGTTCAGCGTTCGATCCGAGATTCAAGTCGCAAGACCCTCGGAAGACGTTATTCAAATCCAAATCAAATTCGGAGAAGATCAAGTCAACGACTCGTCTCTGAATTTCAGAGTCAATCATATATTTTTCTTGAGAGAAGAATCAGAGGATTAAATTAGAGTTTGTAACCCGCAATATTTTATTTTAAATTCAATAAATTATCTTTGTGCAAGTTTTTCTTGTTTGTCTAAATTCGCAGATAAGAATTTGTTGCTACACTAGGTTTCTCCAAACCCCCAAAAGTCTCGCTCGTCAAGTCCAAAAAAACAATCTCCCATTTCGATTCCGCTGTTTTCCTTATCCAGTGAAGCTTCCCACTCGCAAACTTCCCCGCGGACTCAATTGCACCATGCAACGGAGTTTCGTTGTAATAAACCGCAGTTTCTCCCCAAGAATTCGACTTTAAACTATAAACTTTTCCCATTGAACACAATAAAGGCACCCCTTCATCATCCCAACAAGCCAAATAAAAAAGAGCATAAACTTTGTAATTATCACCACTAATCTCATCCAATATTCCAAACCCATAGCTTATAAAACCACAATACTCGATATCATTGACTCCGTCGAAGAAGTAGGGCAACTCCTTCGACTCCCTCGTCGCGGGATTCCACAACAAAATCTTGTCTCGGCCGACACCGACGCAGATCAAACCGTTGCAAGAACCCAAAACTAACATCTCCGATGAACAAGCCTTAGGGCAATCGAGAGGAGGCGCGTGAGTCGATTGTTCGGTCAGTAGCGCGTACAACGGACACGAATTAATCATCATTCCTCCCGGATTCCAACACGGCGAGATGATGCTGTGGTGCGGAAAAGCTTTGTGCTTTCTTGAGTTTTCGATGTAGGTTTTCTTGAAGTATTTGCTGGAGATTAAGCGAAGCCATGGTTTCGAAACGGACTTGAATTTCAAGAGGGATTTTACGGGGAGTCTCCACAATATTTCTAAGATGATACCTTCTGGAATTCGGAGATTGGTGCTGCTGGTTTCTGAACGACGCCGTTTTGGTTTGCTGCTCTCCATTGTTGTAGTTTTCTAACTTTGGTTTTTAGGGTTTTTAGGGTTTTGAGGGATTGTGTTTATTGCAGAGAAAAAAACCCTAAAATTTTGTTCTTTCCTCTCTCTCTCTCTCTCTCTCTCTCTCTCTCTCTCTCTCTCTCTCTCTCTCTCTCTCTCTCTCTCTCTCTCTCTCTCTCTCTCTCTCTCTCTCTAGCCGGTCTCGTAGTGGGATATCAGTTGAACATGTCATAGCAATTTTAATTGTTTTTGGTTAAATTACACCGACACCCCTGAGATATATGCTAAAATAACTTTAAGGTCCCTATAGTATCAATAATTACAATCACCACATGAAACATTATTAGAAACCCTAACGGAATAATGCATTGGATAAGTTATTACGTTAGGGTTCTAACGACTATTAGTTTCAGGTAGTGGTGGAGACAACATAGAGCTAGGGAGTGACATGACGCTCCTAACATTTCTTAATTTCTTGTTATTTTGTATAAGATTTATTAATTTCCGTTTATGGTAGCAGTAAGGGCCCGTGAGAAACAAATATAGTGCATGTAGGTTCCTAATACATGAAATATTTGCTCTGGTAATTGTTTCGGGTATGTGGATGTAATTACTAATACTGTAGAGACCTTAAATTAATTGATTCAATTTGTTTTTCTTTTTTCTTTTTACCAAGAGAAGTGTGTTCTTGTATATACATCATTAGGAACTAGGAAGTATATGCTAATAAGTAATATCAATAATATAAATAAGTTTTTAATAATTAAGTATAGGCCATGGTACTAAATAGAAAAACACTTATAATTTTTTTTGGCCAATGTTTTTTTTATTGATATTATAGGAAAAAATTAGACGGGGACCTCATTAAAAACCTCGACATACGAAGCAAGGAAAATAGTACCCGACTACTTTTACCAAGTGTTTGCTTGTGATCAAAGAATGCCATGATTTCGAAACGCACCTGAATCTCAAGAGGGTTTTTACCGACAGTCTTGAAAAGATTTCTATTATTAAGGTTATTGCATATATTATTCCTACGAAATTTGCAACTGCGCGATTGATTTTTTCTTCCCTTTTGCCTAATTGACAAAAATACCCTGGGTTTTTGCAATAAAATACTCCCACCCTTGAACAGATTGTTTTTAAAGTTACAAATATAAATTGTTTTTTGTAAGAAATACAGGGGTTAAATTGTAATTTCTAGAACTTAATTAAAATCCTAATCCATGTCTGCTTCTTTTATTTGTTAAAATAGAAATAGAATTAAGATTTTATTAAATGAAAAACATTTAAAACGTGTAATATAACAAACCTCCTCGGGATATTTTGGTCTTTTCACCACTGGAAAATGGGTGAGTGTATTATTAGTAGAATTGAACATATAGAAGAAAGCAAACACCTTGTAATCGCCACTACTCTCATCAAAGGCAAAGCTATATCTATCAATAGAATCGGTTCGAAGAAGGAAAAAAAAAAAAAAAACTATCAATAGAACACTCAAAAGTATCGATTCATACGTTGATTTTTGCGGAGCACGTACGAGTATCAGAACTCGGTTACGTAAATTGAACTACTATTGGCAAACCATCATTGTTCCTAGGCTTGTTCACCGTCATAATCAGGGTACAAGCGAGACTAAACTTTCTGTGTAGACATGCGCATGACGAATACCGTCTAGGTCAAAGTCAACCGTGTCCAGTTTCCTAACCCAATTATCTTTTGGATTGTACGTATAAAAATCCGAAGAGTAAGTAAACAAAACCTCTTCGTTTGGCAAAACAAACACCGGGGTTATGGGACCATACGACGCCCAAAGTTTCGGCCTCCAAGAAACGGACAAATACGAAATAGTCAACAATCTTGACCAAGAATCTTCCACCCCGTACTCGTTCCAAATCCAGATATCGAACCCAATAGTAGCAATATTTTCAGGATAGTCGAAATACGCACAAAGACGTCCTTTGAGAACTCCCAATCCAGACATAACGTAATCCTTCAAACAATTAGGTTTTTCGATAGTTCCGAAAGTCTCGCTCTTCAAATCGAAAGAAACAATCCAATCCGATCCCGTTTCGTAATCGCTTCTCCAATGAAGTTTCCCACTCACAAACCTCCCCGGATCGAACAAAGATCCATCTGTGACGGACACAACTTCTCCCCAAGAATCGGCTTTTAAACTATACAGCCTCGCAACGGATACAAGCGGACGGTATCTCAAACAATAAACAACGTAAATCTTATAATCGCCGCTACTTTCATCAAAGCCGAACCCATGTCTAGCAATAAACCCGCAATTTCGGTTCCTATGATTCACTCCGGCGAAGAAATCGGGCAACTCCTTACGCTCCCTCGTCTTAGGGTTCCACAAGAAAAACCGATATTTATCAACCATGACAATGCAGATCAAACCTCTGCAAGAACCAACAATGAATAAATCTCTAGAATTATCCGTCGGAAAATCAAGAGAAAACACACGAGTAGAAGGTTCGGTAATCAACGAGCGCAAAGAACACGCCTTTATAACTGCCCGACTAGATTTCGAAGGGGTTGTAATGATTTTAGTGGAGAGATCGAAAGCATCGTCGTCGTTTGCCGAATTTCGGAGGTAAGTTACGATGAAGTGGTCGGTGGAGATTAAAGAAAGCCATGATCTACAAACGCACTTGAATCTCAACACGGATTTTAGCGGGAGTTTCGAAAAAATTTCTATGATGATTTCTTCGGGAAGATGACGGTGGATTTCTTCGCTCTTCATTTTTTTTTTTTTTGCGGCGGCTGTGGCTTTGCAACAAAGTTCGGACTTGTTTTGGTGTTCTGAGGTTTTCTTGTCGTACGTAGTATCAAGTATGTACGAGGAAGCCAGCGCCTAGGGTTTTGTATTCCACTTTGCACCTTCCATATATACCATTTTGGATCTTTTGCACTTTGCCCCAGAATTACACCCTTTTGGCACTTTGCACCTCTGACTATACCCTTTTGGCACTTTACACCCTTAAATTGTGAAATTGGCATATTGGACCCTTTAAACATAAATTGTTTGGCACTTTGCACCCCTAAATTACACCATTTTGGCACTTTACACCCTTAAATTGTATAATTGGCAGATTGCACCCTTTAAACATAAATTGTTTGGCACTTTGCACCCATGAATTACACGCGTTTTGGCATTTTACACCCTTAAATTATGAAATTGGCAGATTGCACCCATTAAACATAAATTGTTAGGCACTTTGCACCCCTGAGTTACACCATTTTGGCACTTTACACCCTTAAATTGCGAAACTGGCAGATTACATACTTCAAACATAAATTATTTGGCACTTTGCACCCAAATCACATTGGTCTTAAAAAATTATCCTGCAACTTACTGAAAACCTGGAAAATGGGCAAATTAATAATTCTCTAACTATCTATCCTCTTCCCCCAATTCTTAATCATCATTCCACCATTTAATCAAAAAATTCTAAATTCTTTTTAGCCAAATTCATATGCCGTTGTTCCTAGGCTTGTTCGTTTCGTTCACCATCATCAAGTACGTACAAACAAGACTAAACTTTATATATAGGCATCCGCTTCACGAGCATGATTGCGGTCAAAGCCAACCGTGTCAAGTTTCCTAACCCGATTATCTTTTGGATTGTAAACAAAAAAAGTCCAATTCGTAAGTAAACAAAACCTCGTCTTCATGTGGCACTTCTGGATTGTAAACAAAAAAGGTCCAATTCGTAAGTAAACAAAACCTCGTCGTCATGTGGCAAAACAAGCAACGGGGTTATGTGATCATGTGGCAAAATAAGGATATCTTTAGAATCATATATCGTGAAGAAGTCGAGAGGGGAGGCATGCATAACTCCCGGTTCGATTAGCAACGAGGACAAAGAACACGCCTTTAGTGTGAAAATATCTGCTAGGAATGTTCATTCGGTAACACTTATCGAAATTTCGGTACTTCAAAAATTTGTACCGTTCATAATATTTTAATTGTCTTATGTTTGTTAAAATTTTGTATAGTTACTATTTCACGATCAAAATCACCAAAAACTGTATGCTATAATACACACATTTTGGGTAAAATTGGTGATACGTCCCAAAAACTTTTTCACGATCAAAATTACCAAAAACTATACGCTATAGTATACAGATTTTTGGTAAAAGTGGTGGAATGTCCAAAAACTATTTCATGATTAAAATCACTAAAAACTGTCCACTATAATACAAAGATTTTGGGTAAAATTGGTGGAACGTCCAAAAAACTTTTTCACGATTAAAATCACCAAAAACTGTATACAATAATGCACATTTTTTTGATAAAATTGGTGAATCGTCCCAAAAAAAAATTTCACGATCAAAATCACCAAAAATTGGATACTATAGCACACAAATTTTAGGTACAATTGGTGGAACATCCCAAAAACTTTTTCACGGTCAAAATCACCAAAAACTGTATACTATAGTACATATATTTTAGGTAAAATTGGTGGAACATCCAAAAAAAAATTCACGATCAAAATCACCAAAAACTGTATAATATAGTACATAGATTTTGGGTAATATTGGTGAAACGTCCAAAAAACCTTTTCACGATCAAAATCACCAAAACTGTATGATATATAGTACACAAATTTTAGTTAAAATTAGTTCAACGTCCAAAAATTTATTTCACGATCAAAATCACCAAAAATTATATACTACAGTGTACAAATTTTAGTTAAAATGTGTGGAACGTCCAAAAAACTATTTCACGAACAAAATGACAAAAAATTGTACACTAGCACACAGATTTTGGGCAAAATTGATGGAACGTCCAAAAAATTATTTCACGATCAAAATCGCGAGAAAATGTACACTATAATAGTACACGGATTCTGGGTAAAATTGGTGGAACGTTCTAAAAACTATTTCACGATCGAAATCACCAAAAACTGTATGTTATAGTACACAAATTTTGGGTAAAATTGGTGGAACGTCCCAAAAAAAATTCACGATCAAAATTACTAAAAAAAACTGTACGCTAGTACACAGATTTTTGGTAAAATTGGTGGAACGTCCAAAATACTATTTCACGATCAAACACCAAAAACTGTATGTTACAGTACACATTTTAAATAAAATTGGTGGAACGTCCAAAAAAAAAATTCACGATCAAAATCACCTAAAACTGTAGGCTAGTACACATATTTTGGGTAAAATTGGTAGAACGTCCAAAAAATTTTGTTCACGATAAAAATCACCAAAAACTGTATACTATATAGTACACAAATTTTGGATAAAATTGGTGGAACGTCCAAAAACCTATTTCACGATCAAAATCACCAAAAACTGTATACTATAGTACATATATTTTGGGTAAAATTAGTGGAACGTCCAAAAAACTATTTCACGATCAAAATCACCAAAAACTGTATACTATAATACACGGATTTTGGGTAAAATTAGTAGAACGTCCCAAAAAAATTTCACGATCAAAATCACAAAAAACTGTAGGCTATATATAGTAGACATATTTTTTATAAAATTGGTGGATCGTCCAAAAAACTTTTTCACGATCAAATTCACCAAAAACTGTATACTATATAGTACCCTAATTTTGAGTAAAATTGGTGGAACGTCCCAAAAAAAAATTCACGGATAATAATCAAAAACATTACGCTATAGTACACATATTTTGGATAAATTGGTGGAACGTCCAAAAAACTTTTTCACGATCAAAATTACCTAAAATTGTACGCTATAGTGTACATATTTTGGGTAAAATTGGTGGAACGCCCAAAAACTTTTTCACGATAAAAAACTCTCGACAATTATTACGACAAGTCGCTTTCGACACGTTACGATCAAGAACCGCGTAATCACACACAAAAACCCTTTCAAATCGACAATCGTACAACGAACACATAGCAGAGCACAAACGGAGTGACTTCGATTACAATATGCAATAATAGATACTCATAGTCGTAACCCGAATAAAAAAATATAATAAAAAATAATAATAAACAACCTTTTTTTCTCTCTCTCCAAGAAACACACACACACACACACACTATTACCAATCTCCATCACGAATTTCCTCCGATATCCTTACTAGGACTAAAATCAACCTTCGGCGGGCCCGAATGCCTCCTGGCCATGCCAGCTGGCGACCCGGAGAAAGACAGCCGTTTCTTGACAGGTGTCCCCATTTTCTCCCCTCCCAACGGGCTGGGGGCCCGCGCTCTGGCCCGAGCAGACTCGGTGGACCCCATATAGCCTTGGACAACTGCAGGTGAGCTAGCAAGGCTCTCGTCGTCTCTCACAGACGAACAAGAACCTGCAATGCTGTGCCTTCTGCATCGATCGGATTGAACGCTATTTATGCTCCTTGAATCTTCGTCTCTACCGTTTGTTGTTAACGTTCCTCTAGGGCTATGTGGCGTTATTCGATTGGTTGATTTTGACCTGGGGGTTGATGGGGATTGTCTGCTTGGAGGGCGGCTTTGTTTTTTAGGAGTTGGAGAGTTGATAATCCCGTTTGGTTCTGATTTGTCGGTTGGGATAATCGGAACCCCGTTTTCCCATGGTCGAGAAGCCATCCATCGCTCAAGCCAACTCCAACCCCAACGGGGAATATTTTGATCCATGAATGTTTGGTTACCAGAGTTTGGTGTGTTCCTCCACGTTTGCTGGTTTTTCAAGAAAATTTCGAGTACGTGTCAATTTTTAGCAAATGCACTTCGCCCACTAAAAAATCTTAAAAAGAGATGACCCCCGTTTAAAACATTCTTTTTCGGTCGCAGTTAGCCTTCGAACCCATTTTTTGCGGGCAGTGTGCAACAAAATAACATTTTAAAGGACGACGTGCAACTAAAATAACATTTGAAATGGGCAACTTGCAATAAAAATAACATTTTTAAGGGGTAATATGCAACAAAAATCTCAATTCCGGTGAATAGTAGAAGTCCATCGGAATTTGGCTAACGGTGCAACAAAACAAAACAACATTCTGAAGGGGGACGCTCGCTTTTTTGAATTTTTGACGCGGAGGGGGAGTGTGAAATTTTGAAAATTATAGGGGGTGAAGTGCAATTATCCCTAGTAACAGAAATATTCTAGGATGGAACAATATATATTACTCTTCCTTTCATTTTTGTGAATCGGGATTTTGTTGCCATTTTTGTGAATCGAAATTTTGTTGCCATTTTCGTAAATTGACGTGTATAATATTACCTGATGTGAATAGGCATAGGCCAACGAGCGCTCCCTTCTTACAGCAGCTTCTTGTCTAATCTGAAGATTAGCTTCAATCTGCTCTTTCGATTGCTTACTGTCGTCCCAATCCTCTCCAATCTAATTGTAATAAAATCGACATAACTCAGTCGAAAGCAACTCAAAATAAAAATCACGTGAAAAAAGATCACTTTTTTATATCAACAAAATATAATGCATAATTGCAAAGACACGATTTTTTTTTAGGATTACTTACAGATAGTCTCAACTTCTCAATCTCCTTTTCGCGTTTCTGCAATATTTGTCTCTGGGTAGCTGAATTATCTTCAGACATTCGTATTCTCCTCGCACGAACCTCGTATTGCAAACGGCCAAGTGTCTGCATATGTCGTAAGGTAGTTGCCGCTTGCTTTTGCACCGACTGCCCTCCCACTAACGATTTCAGCCTCACTAGACCTCTCAAAGCCCTCAACGCTCTACGTGCCTAATTTAATAAAAAAACTTAAAAATTAACGACAAAATAACGACGGGTTAACCGTTTTAAGTACGATATTATCTGACATTATCGTACCAAGTAGCCACGGAAAGCTGTCTGAATCTTGACAGCAGCCAACTCTTCTCGGGTTCTGCCCAAATTACGGGGTGTGGACGTCAGACGGACGACCTCCGCGGCGGCGTGGGCGGCGGCAACGGCCGCCTCGGCGGCTGCGGCGGTGGCGAGAGCGACGGAGTAAGCGTGCCTGTTCTGTTCATTTTCGGCTTCGGCTAATTTCACCTCTTCTGTGGTGTTTCGGGTGTTGGAAGAATCTAAATCTACGGTCCCCTGTTTCTCGGACCATTTTTCCGATCTTCGATTCTTCTGATCATCAAAACGAAAAAAAAAATTATATCTTCGGGTACCGAATTCGGAGTCGAATACGATCGAAAATGAGTTGAATACGAATACCTTTTGTTTGTTGTGGCTAGATTGGCAGCTGAAGATCTTCTTGACTGCAGATAACCAACCCCCTTTCTTCCCCATTTTCGATTAAAACATCTGTGTCGAAAAACCCGGAATAAATTACTACTCAGATTAAATTAAATTAAATCAACCCAATTTCCATCAAGATTCTTTAAATAAAATAAAATGTAAACAATTCTTGAGCATTTCAGACACAAGTAAAAACATCACTAACTTCCTTCACATAATCAAGAACAGATCTATGATACATACTACAGAAAAACCTATGAGAATAAAATAATTGCAAAGAAGGACACATAAACAATCAAACTAATTATTCAATCCCCCAAATTTAATAATACACCACCATATCTCAATTTTAAAACCATGAAAATTCACCACCATTGAAAAAATATTAAACAATTAAAAAAAAAATTGAGAAGCAACCCAGTAATTAAACAAACCTGTTTTGCGAAAAATCAGCACGCGAATTTCCCCCAAAACAGAAATTCTTGATTATACAAGCATATATAAATATATATATATTTTTTCTGTATTTCTTCTGATACGCAATCACCCCTCCAGCATCAGCGACCAGATAAACATCAAGAAATGTTGTCTGAGGCTGGGGTGTAGGGGGGGGTAAGGGGGGGTGGGTGGAGCGGGGGTAGGAGAGAGAGAGAGAGATGTGAGAGAGAGAGAGATCGAGAGAGAGATCTTAATTCTTAATCTGATTTTGATTGGGAAAACCTATTTTTGTCTGGGACAAAAAATAACGGACAAGGGTAGTTTAGGTATTTCATAATGGCAACGGTCTTTGGGTTAAAATATGGATTGGTGGGGGCCCGCATGAAATTGGGCCCTGGAGCGGGCCCACAAGTGATTCTGACTTGTGAGAGTGAGAAGTGAAACATGTTTCTTGTTTTTATTGTTAATAACTGCAGACAACTAACAAACCCCCCATTGCTGCATTTATTTATTTGAGGTTGTAATTAATTATTTTTACATAATTAATATTAATATATATAATTAATTGCACCTCTCAATTTTATTCATAAATAAAAAAAAAATTAATAAGTTAACTCTCTTCTTGTATATCAAAAAACTCAAATTCCCATGTGCTCACTTAAACATCAATATTATTATATATATATTTTATATTATTGGTAAATAAAAAATAAAAAAAATCCAGCTTCGCTGGTTTCGATTCGAAATTTTTGTTGCTAAACATTTTTCCATTTCAATTTCTAATATTTTGAATTTATTTTCCTTCCAAAAGTGCTTATCCCGATCTGATCAATCTCATTCATGCAGCTAAATTTATATTGTGATATTCATACCATTTTCACACTTGCTTTTTTTTTTGGGCAAATGGCAAAAAGGCCCATCACATGGGACTTAAATGCATTTTAGTCCACAAAAAAAACAGTCTCTCAATTAAGCCCATCCCCATGTCTTTAGTCTAAAATACCCTCTATAATATAATTCTTAACAATTCCACCCATTATGCTCTAACTTCCTTAATATTACACATTGACCCCGGATTTAAACAAATATATCACATTAACCCCCAAAACTTTTTTTTTTCAGAAAATAATTTTTTTTCTGAACTGTTTTTTTTCCGGCCAGATTCTGGCCAGATTCCGGCGTTGACCGCCGGAGACCGCCAGTCTCCGGCGTTGACTTTTTTTTTTTTTTTTTTGAATTGTTTTTTCTTAGAAAAAAAAATATTACTGTCTCAGACAGTAATATTACTGTTTGAGACAGTAATATTATGAATATTATTTTTCCGAACAGTAATATTATTAATATTATTATCTAAGACAGTTAAATTACTGTTGGAGACAGTAATTTAACATCCAAGACAGTAATATTAATTTAACATCCAAGACAGTAATATTAATTTAAATAAATTTTTTTTAAGGAAAAAAATTAAAAAAAAAAAAAAAGTCAATTAACAGTTAAGTTACTGTCTCCGACAGTTAAATAACTGCTGGAGACAGTAATTTAGCAACGTATACAGTAATATTAATTAAAAATATTTTTTTTAAGAATAAAAAAGGCAATTCACAGTTAAATTTCTGTCTCCGGCAGTTAAATAACTGCCGGAGACCGTTATTTAGCAACGAATTCCGGAATTTTAATTAAAAATATTTTTTTTAAGAATAAAAAAGTCAATTAACAGTTAAATTTCTGTTTCCGCCAGTTAAATAACTGCCGGGGGCCGTAATTTTGCCACGGATTCCGTTATTTTAATTAAAAATTTTTTTTTTAGAATAAAAAAGGCAATTAACAGTTAAATTTCCGTCTCCGACAGTTAAATAACCGCCGGGGGCCGTAATTTAGCCACGAATACCGTAATTTTAATTAAAATATTTTTGGAGAAAAAAAAAAAAAAAAAACAGTCGATTAACAGTTAAATTACTGTCTCCGATAGTTAAATAGCTGCCGGAGACAGTAATTTAACCGCCAAGACAGTAAAATTAATTAAAATATTTTTTTTAAGAAAAAAAAAAAAAAAAAAAGTCAACGTCGGAAACCCGGCGGTCAACGGCCGTTGACCGACCGGAAAAAAATTTCAGGAAAACAAATTCAAAAAAAAAAAAAAAAAAAAAGTCAACGCCGGAATCTGGCCGGAAAAAAAATATTTCAGAAAAAAAATTATTTTCTGAAAAAAAAAAGTTTTGGGGGTTAATGTGATATATTTGTTAAAATCCGGGGTCAATGTGTAATATTAAAAAAGTAAGAGTATAATGGGTGGAATTGATACAAATTAGGGTTAAAATTGGGGTCAAAATTAAAATTTGGGTTAAAATTGGTTAATTGATGAAATTGGGCTAAATTGGGGTGTAAATCATGAAATTGGAGTTAAATTGGGTTTCAAATGAATTGGGGGTAATTTTGGTATATATAAAGGGATTTTCCTTATTTGCAAATAAGTTTGAATGGGGTGGATTTATTTGAAAGACAAAAAAGTTGGATGTCCCTATTTTAATTAAGTGCCCTTGTCATGGGCCTATTTGCCATTACCCCTTTTTTTTTAGGGTATTTATTATGTTGGAGAAAATTCAAAGATTAAATAAATGGTTATTATAAAAAATATTATAAGCACGTCATGTGACTATAGATTACATTATATTTTCATGTACAAAGTACACATTGGGAAAAGCATTTGACCAAGTCAACCAATAAGAACTAAAAATAGATAAAATTTTGAAGAATCTTGAAAGCAATATCTAAGACTATTCTTAAATTAGGAAACAACAAAGAGCCAATTTCAATGTCAGAACAAATCTTGTCCCATAGCAAGAGGATTGGAATTTTAATTTAATTTTTAATAAATTTATTTATTTTTGCAAATAAAAACTAATTTTTATTATTTATTTTTTAATAATTTAATTGAATTAATTTCTGCCCATCCTTACTCTGAAGCAGAAGAATTGAAGAGTTGCAACTTGCAGTATGTATTCATTTCTTCACATGATAGCCATTTACCATCCTTTTGTCTTGTTCTACATTAATGTATTTTTTTGAATTTTAATTTTGATTTTTAAATTGTTTATACATTTTTTTTGTAGTTTTAAAATATGGATTTTGAGGACTTGGAAGATAAAATTATACCTACTATATATATACATACACAATAAAATTATGTTAGATGGATGTTTGGTTAATCTTATAAGTTGTTCAAAAGAGCTTATAAGCTCTTTCGAAATGTTTGATATTTTTTTCTTAAAAATATATTAATTTAGAATATATAATAAATGCGAGAGAGTTTTTAAGATCTTTTCAAAAGAATATATATACCATATAATTAGTAAAAATAGCTTATGAGTTCATAAAAAAATGTAATAGCTAACTTATCAGATATAAGAACTTGTCAACCATTTTAAATAAGATTAGTCAAACGAGCTCTTAGTTCAGTTCACACTTATGGTGTGATTTGTACTCTCAATTGCCCCTAAATAGTCATAAATGATATAAATATTAATTTAAACATTTTGACCAATCCTTGTAATGTGAATTTACCTCCTAATCCTTGTGACTTCATCAACTACGTAGCTTACAAGTTACTCTAACCAAAAGTCTAATAACTGCTAACTACATTAGTTTAGGATAATTAAACATTATTACATTCTTGATTGTGATAGCTAGCTACTATGATTAATTAATTCTATAAGAAAATAATAAAATGGCAAATTGACTTTGTGTTTTATTTCGTTTACCTTTCTTTTAAATTTTCCAAATATTAATTAAATGTCATGTTTTTGAATAATGTTTATTAGGTTCTGTTTTTAATCAGCGACGAAATCAGAATATAATATTGTGAGTGTGACGATCAAATTATACAAGGTCTAACTTGGCTTTTCACATCACTCAAAATGTCAAATATTTGATCATTGACCAATAATGGTTGGAAAATAAAAAATAAAAAAATTATATCCGACCTTATTACAAGGAAGAAATAATTAATTGTTTTGTGAAGAAGCTTGTATTATTTCTAACTTGTTTGAAAATAAAATAGAAATTTTGATTTAACTCTCTCTCAATGCCACTTTTGCTAGCATACAATATAATATGATTTTAATTTTATATCATTTTTGCAGATATTGTCCATTTCAAATACTAATAAATTAATACACTCGCTGGCCGAGTAAGAATTTTAAGTTCGAGAGAGAAGTCGTTAATGCTATTGTACACACACAAAAATTAAAATTCTATATAAATTAATAGAGATTTGAGAAATGTTGGGAGGTCGTGGCCCTCTTTAGTCTTATGTTGGCTCAGCCACCACGGAATACACTCGCAAAATATTGTCCAATTTATTATTACACTGATATATTTGCTTAAAACGTTATTTCGACGATAACGACAACAATATTAATTCGAGATATTTATTTTACCTATATTTTGTAGCTCGAACATCAAATTTTGGACCTTATTGATTGTTTTTTGTTCATCTTCTCTTGCATCATTTTATGGTACATGCGTTGTCTCTCAATTTCCAAGCGTTCATGGAGCTTTCTTTGCACCTGAATAAGAAAGTTGTTAGGGTTTGATCAACTTCATATATTTCGAACTTCTGAAATGATATTTACAGAGTGAAAATCGATAGGTGACAGAGTAATTTCAATGTTTATTATTTTTTTATATTTTTAAACCTTACTTTCTCTCAAACATTCAAATAAAAAATATTCTCGACGCTCGACTCATACGATAACAGATTTGAGGTAAATTTTATATTTTTAATTCTTAAATTATGTACGTCTCAAATTAAAAAAAAATGAATTATGCTATTTATGTGTTGTTCAACACAAAACCCGGGTTTCAGATTTTTTTTCCCCGTGTTGTTTAACAAATCGAATTGTCGCTTTCCTTATATTTATTTTATTGTATTAATTTTGCCTCTATTTAAATAAATTTAATTTGTAGAGAAAAAGTTGAATAAAATCCCCTATATTTCATTTTCTTTTTCAGCATGAATTCATCGAATTATGAATGTAAACAACTGATTAATATTTTAAAGAAGAAACTAAAATTCAACATGAGAATCAATTTGTACCTCAAGTTGTTCATTGAGCTTCTTCGTAATTTCTTGCTGGTCATTGCTTCTGCAAATCACAAAGAAGAATATTAATCATGAGAGAGAGAGAGAGAGAGAGAGAGAGAGAGAGAGAGAGAGAGAGAGAGAGAGAGAGAGAGAGAGAGATCACTTTGTTAAATCCGTGAAGGCCATATTTCCTGCAATTGTAGTCAGCTTGTTGGAGTACTGTTTTTTTTAAGGTTTTTTATCCTTGCATTTATACATAATAATGGCAATAAATGATTTCATTCATATACATAATTAAAAAAAAAAAAAAAAAAAAAGATATAAAAAAGAAACCAAGGGCTGCAAAAGGTAAACAAATAATAAAGAAATTACATGGTCCCACAATACATTGTTAAGTGGCTCCTATCTGTGGAGAGACACTTGACAAATCTCAAATTTTAAAGAGCTTATTAATGTTCCACTACAGCACCCTTCATTCTTCAAATTTTAGAGAGCCACTAAATTCTGACACTAAAAGCAACTTTGGAGAGCCCAGTGTGGATGCTCTAATGTCCACTACTTTTAACTTTGGCCGACTTTTTTATATTTGCTTTTTGGTCCTTGAACTTTCAATAAATTCTTGGTTGATCCCTTACAATACAGTATTTGTAATACCTAAAGAGATGTTCAGAATTTTGTTCTCTGGTAATTAAATCAAATTAATCAAGGCTGAATTTCATGTCATTCCTGAATAACAATTAATACATCAGCAATCTGAATACAATAATGACAACCATACCAAAGACTATTTACAAACATATTCAATTTCTTTAAATTAAGTCATCGCATTATTCGAATTGAGATAATTAAATTTAAATTCCTCCTAAGCATGGACCAAGCCGATTTTCCACAAAAACTGCATGTCATGTATCACGAGTAACTTCAACCGTACCCGTTTCATCGACCCTGGCCCGTTTTGTCACTGAGTCAAACGGGTCATTGGCCCGTTTCGTTTCAGACAACATTTCCTTCTTGCTCGGATTTTCATCGGCCGAAATGCTAACATCGGTTGCGACTTCTTTGGTGGTGGCACGATTGTTATCCGATGGTTCAGATTTGTCGGTACATAAGGAAGGCTGTTTTTCAACGGATAGGAGTGCATTCGATGAAGATGCTCTCGTCGTTTTGTCTTCTTCCATCTTCCTTTGCTGCTCAAACATCATCTGTAGGTGCTTCCCTTGTTCTTCGATTCGTAACTGTAGATTTCTTTGTATCTGCAAGAAATAGATTCTCTCAAAATCAAGAAATCATTTTTTAGCCAATACACAATCCCCTTGTAATCCAAGATAAAGGCTCATTTTTCATAATTTCGGGCCGGCCCGTTTTTTTTTAAATACCCAAACATCATATAAGACCTACTCATCCAAGCTATTATTACATTTAATCCGTGAAATAGGGGGGAGAAATGGACAAAAAAATGAGATAATTTCCGTACCTCAAGTTGTTCATGTAGTTGCTTCTGTACTTCCATCTGCACTCTCAGAGCTTCAGTTATGCCCATTGTCCTGCCATCACAATTATCATTTAATAAGATATTAAATTTCAATCACGAATATTCCAAAAAAGGGAGAGACCTTCAAGCCAAGAATCAGAAAATACTAATCCATTTTTCTTTTTCTTTTTCTTTTTGCTTTCATTTTAATTTTCTTTACACGAGAAATCGCCAGTCCAAAATATACACTATAGGGCAAAACAAGTTAGTCGAAAGTATATATATATATATATATATA